AGAACCCACCATAAGGCAACCAGATTTTTTTCAAGTCATGTTAAGCCCCTGCTTTGCATATTGTTTGAATATATTTACATGTTGACTATCAAGAAGTCCTAACTGCAGATATGTAAGATTAAAATAAAATAAGTCTGATCTTGCCACCTACTGCAGTCACAGTCACGTGCGGCGTCAGCGTGGATGGCAGCTCCGGTACAGAACAGATTTTGAACAGCGGGGGCTGGGGGAAAGGGTGGACCTGCGGTAGGAGGGGGAATGGAGGTAGGAGGGGTAAGATCTCTCTCCCTTGGACCCAGGAGATCCCCTGCAGCCCTCCAAGTCTGCAAGGAGACCCAAAGTACAGTCACCCCTGCCTTTTGGTGCCCTTGACTTTTGCCCAAGCTTCACTGTGCCTTGAGCCTCCTGGCCTGGTTTACAGGTTCACAGGGCACTACCCCAACCCCACCCCTTCTGGGCCACCTCCCGCTTTGCTCGGCACCATGCAGCTTGGGACCATTTCAGATGACCGTGCAGGTGTGCTCTGGACAGCATCTCACCTGGGCACCGTTGGTGCTGGCCCTCAGCCTGTCCCTGTGGCCCGGGTCATTCTGTGATGGGGAAGAAATGCCTATTGGTCTCCAACCATGGGAAGGTACAAGGGGTACATTTTTTTAGTCTGTCTCTTGGCCCAGGTGCCCATCCAATGCCTCCTAACCCTCCCCTGAAGGAAGGAGTGAACAGAGGACAGAGTAGGAGTTAACAGGACCTTCCTAGTCACCCAGGTAGGGTGCAGGACCTTCCTAGTCACCCAGGTAGGGTGCAGGGGGAAATGTGTCATGGGAGAGAGGGATGCACGGGGGAAGAGCAGGTCATAGGTTGGATGAAAGGCTCAGACATGGCAGAGAGTCCCAGAGCGAAGGTGACAATCACCGCTGGACATGGCTCTCCCATAGGAGCAACAGGACAGCTGCTTCTGGAGATGCTGGTCAGTGCTACAGTTCAAATAGGACTTGAGTTTGTGTCACAACAAGTCACACGTGGGAAGTTGCTTCCTGTGGCAGTGTGAGGTGGTGGTGGCTGTAAGAGGTGGGACTTCACTGGGCACGGTGGCACACACCTCGAATCTCAGCCTTCAGGAGGCTGAAGCAAGAAGAGCACTGCAAGTACCACTTTTTTCAATTTGTAAGTGCATGTGCATACGTGGGTGTGTATGTGTAGCTGGATATTGATCCCAGAACCTCCCACATGGTAGGCTCTACCCCTGAAGCACAGCACAGCCCTAACTCTTACCTTTTGATTTGAGAGTTTAATCTAGGTTGAAGAATTTAAGATCTTACTTCTGTCACTTTGCCATTTGTTTTCTACGTTTCTTGTGACCTATTTCCTGCATTATCCTCTTTTATATGTTTGGCTAACTTTCTTTTTGGTAGTGACATGTTCAACTTTTATCATTTCCTTTTTTGTGTATTCTATAGCTATTTTCTTTGTAGTTACCATGGTGGTTACATGCAGCATCTTAAAGTTATAACACTGCAGTTTGCATTTATGCCATGCTAACTTCAATAACATATAAAAATTCTGGTCTTTACAGCTCTTTTGGTTGTTAGTGTAACAGAATTACATCTTTACATATTGTGTGTCCCAAAACCTATTGTAGTAATGCTTTTAAATATATTAGTCTTTGAAATTATGTTGAAAAAATATAGTTACAAATATAAAATAATACTAGCTTTTACACTAATAATTTTTAAGTGTAAGTTTCATAAATTACACAGAACATAAAAAATGAAATTAGAAACCTTTTGTGAAGTTAGAAGCTATTATTACAAGACTAATTTTTGTAATTGTTCATGTTTTTGTTTCATTAAAATCTTTATTTTTTTCATTGGCTTGAGTTACTGTCTAGCATGGTTTCATTTTAGCCTGTAGAATTTCTTTAGTTTTTCTCATAGAATGGGTCTAATAATAATGAACTCCTTCAGCTTTTATCTTGGATATCTTACATTTTCCTTCACTTTGAAGGACAGTTATGTTGAGTATAGGGTATTTAACTGACAATTATTTTTTCTCTGTTAGCACTTCAAATCTATTGGTCTGGTGCCTTCTTGTCTTCAGAGTCTCTGAGGAGAAATCTACTTTTGTTTTTACTGAAGATACTTTATATGTGATGCTTTGCATCTCTTTTGCTATTTGTAGGATTCTTGGTCTCTCACTTGTGCAAGTTTGATTTTAACGTGTCTCAGTGTTGGTCTTGCAGTTCATCTTGGAGTTGACTGGGCTTCTTGGATATTGATATGTGTGTCTTTCATCAATTTTGGCAACTTTCTATTTATTTGTTTTTACAATACTGGGGATCAAACCCAGGGCCTCAGATGTACTAAGCAAGTGTTCTACCACTAACCTACATCCCCTAACCCAAATTTAGAATTTTTTCAGCCACTATTTTTAAAATATTTTCTTTACAATTTTCTCCCTCTAACTTCCTCTTAGAGCTTGCACAACACATGCATTGGTAGACTTGATAATGTCCGCAGGTCCTGTAGGCTGTGTTCACTTTTCCTCAGTCTTGTTTCTGTTCTTGCTTGGCAATTTTCATTGTCTTTTTTTCAAATTCACTAATTCTTTCTCTTCTTCTGTTTAGACCTGATTTTGAGCCCATCTCAATAACTTTTCATTTCAGTTATTGTACTTTTCAGCTCTCTCATTCCTATTTGTTTCCTTTTTGGTTTTTTAATCTGCCTAATGGTATTTACATTTCTTAATAAATTTTTCTATTGACAGTCTTCACATCTTCCTTTAGTTCCTTGCATGTCTTTAAGAAAGTTGTTGTAAAGTCTTTGTCTAGCATATTTACCATCAAGTCTTTCTTTTTTTTTTCCCTTTTTTTGGTACTGGGAGTTGAACTCACGGCCTCATGCTTGCCAGGCAGGCACTTATGCTGCTGAGCTAAACCCCTAGCCCCATGAAGTCTTTCTGAGAGACATTTTTTACTGATTTTTTCCCACTTTGCACTATATTTTCCTATTCCTTTGTAGTCCTGTGAGATGTTGTTGTTGACAATGATGATGAAAATTGGGCATTTGAATCTAAAAAATGTTATAACTCTGTTAATCAGATTCTCCTCTTCCTGAGAGTTTGCTGTTTTTGTTACAGTTTTTGGTCTAAGACTTTACCTAGGCAGGCAGGATTATTTTTTTTAATTTTCCCTATATACAATACATTTTTTAATATCTTAATCTTTAATGTCTTGCTCTTAAAAGGAAAAAAACAAGAAAAATTAAGCCAGGTATGGTAGTGTGTGCCTGTGTTCCCAGGGAGGGTGAGGCAAGATAAGTCTGGGGGAGAGAGAGAGAGAGAGAGAGAGAGAGAGAGAGAGAGAGAGAAGGGGAGGGGAGGAGAGCAGAGGAGAGGAGAGGAGAGGAGAGGAGAGGAGAGGGGAGGAGAGAGGAGAGGAGAGGAGAGGAGAGGAGAGGAGAGGAGAGGAGAGGAGAGGAGAGGAGAGGAGAGAGGAGAGGAGAGGAGAGGAGAGGAGAGAGAGATATTGAGGAGTGGGAGCTTTGGGCCCTTTTAGAAAACACCAGCCCTATGGAGAAGAGTTACAGTAATGGAAGAAGACACAGTACACTCCAGCCTCTGCCCCCCACCTTGATCAGAATTAGCAACCAGCGATCTGAATACGGGTCCCAGTATTTAGAGGACAAGGTCCTTTTTGCTCACCTGGCTCCCTCAGGCTCTGTACAGATCATCCCACAGACGTGTGCACAGCTGCCTAACATGTGGCTGGGGTCTGGGGATTGGCAGCTATTGTGCTAAGAACTGAAACTGGCCCCTGTAAACTATAGTTTGCAGGGTTACAAACCTTCTACCCACTCTCCCAAGCTCAGCAGATCCCACAGGGCAGGGGCAGCTTCGCAGACTCTGCCTGTGCAGTTGTCTCCAGTGGCAGTAGTCCTGGGCCTCCTTTGGCTTTTACACATCTGCTTACACTGCTCCTCATGAGCAGAGACTGTCCCAAACGTTTCCTGGAACTTATTGTAAATTCTGTTTTCCAGAGTGAATGATAAATAAATAAATTACATTTGTCATTGTACAATCCTGTTTTCTACCTTTTTGTAGAAAGATATTCAGGTGTTTTCAGTCAGTGGAAAACGTTGACATACAGTAGTTCCAGACAGTCTTCAATTAGCTGTCCCCCAAAATTTATATTTGTATAAGATTATCTTTTTGTTTTCTTTTTTCCAGTATCAGGGATTGAACTCATGACCACCTGCTTGCAAGGCAGGTGCTTATGCTGCTTAGCTAAATCCCCAGCCCCCTGTATAAGATTATCTTAATGAATTTCATATTTATGCTTGGGTCTCATCCCCAAGGTATCTCATTAGTGTTTATGCAAGTACTGTATGCAATGTATGCAAGATTTTTAAAATCCAAAATCGCAAACACTTCTAGCCCCGGTATTTCAGATAAAGGATACTCAACCTATATCATTGTTTAGTATCTTTTGGATATACATTCCTCATCTTTTTTTCCACAGATACCATCTGGACAGTATGCTAATACCAGAAATGTTTTTTCAAGAGTGGGTAGATATACTTCTTTCTGTCAAAAGATAATGCCACTAAACAGGACTCTGTATTTTTGTAAACCTCAGCCAAGGTGACATTTTTTTCATTAGGATGTTTTGTTTTGTTTGAGCCATAGTCTCAGTATGTAGTTTAAGCTAGTCTTGGATTCACTGTGTAACTCAGGTTGTCTTAAAACTTATGATGACCCACCTGCCTCTGCCTCCTGAGTGCTGAGATTATAGGTGCGCACCACCCTTCTGAACTTCATTGATTACATCTTGTGATTATTTTTCTAGATCTTGATGTGGATTGTGTGCTGCCCTAACATAGAAAGATCATAGGTTCTATTTTAATTTTGCATTAAAATAAGTTTTTTTGTTTTGTTTTGTTTCACTTAGCAAATTCTTGAATGCAGAAGTTCTATTTTGGACTGACAGGTTATGTCTTCTTTAGGATCACATCCCCTGCAGCTGGCATCCCCAGGCGTGGCTACAGTTCCTCATCCAATCACAAGTATATTCCTCGGAGGGCAGTGCTGTATGTGCCTGGAAATGATGAGAAGAAAATAGCGAAGATTCCCTCCCTGAATGTAGATTGTGTGGTGCTCGACTGTGAGGACGGTGTGGCTATGAACAAAAAGGTAATGATGTGGTTTTCTGAGGGAAGAAGAAAAGGATTGAAATTTGCGGTCTGAGACCAGGGATGGTGGCATAGGCCAGTAATCCCAGCACTTGGGAGGCTGGGACAGGAGGGCACTGCAAGTTTGAGGCCAGCCTGGCCTCCATAATGAGACCCTGTCTCAAAAAGCCAAAGAAATTTGCTCCCTTTGGCAGTGTTGCTCGCTGTTTATAAAGATTCCACTGTGCTCATCGCTGATGAGTAACATTTTTTTAAATCCAGCTTTCATCTGGGTCCTGAATGTGTGGGTGTATCTCTTTTTTCCGAGGGAAAGGTGGAATTTGATCAAAATATATGTGACCAGTAGATGTGACTTTTGCATGTACAGGTAAAGAGGTAGACAGTTTCGGGGCCATTAGCACTCATTTGTCTAGGTAAGTGAATTCTAGAATTGTCATGCAAAATTCTTAGGCCAATAAAATACAATCATTTCTGGTCTTAGCACCAGGTATATTAAATAGTGGTCTTGTCTTCCGAGACAAATGCAAGAAAATAAAGACAGTTGTCCATAGGTAAGCTGCCGGTTTCCATCCTAATAAAGGAGAAACCAGTTACAGAACCTCAGGGCTGCCTTACTTCTGCCTGGTTTCCTCATGGCCTGGCCAGAGAAGCGAGCCTTAAAAAGTCTGCGATGTATAAACAGCTATGGAAGGCTGTGAGGCGGTGATGGCATAGTGCATGCCTTTGGCTTAATTTTATTTTGATAACATTGCTTTTAAGATTTTTATACTGATCATGATTTTTTTTTGAGTAATTGGGTAAAATATAGAAATCTGTATGAGGGTAATTTCTGTTTGTGCTTGATCTTTATTTATGGGTCCCTGGTCAGGGCCGTTGGGAGTGAGTGGAGCTGGTGCACAGAGGAGCCGGCCGTCTGGGTTTGTACCTGCTTGGGTAGTTTCTTGCTTCCGGGTGATATGAAAGAACCTGTCTGTACTACTATCCAGTGTTCTGGATGAATTGCTTTCCTTGGGCATTCTAGCCAGCAAATATTTGCCTTAATTAAAAAATCAAGTTAATTTCCTGCATCATCCTATTAATGGGCAAAACAAAGCTTTTGGAGTCTTTGGAAAAGGATTGGAATAGGCGTGTGGAGTGTAAAGGGTCCACTCAGTATTTTTGGCATGTGCCAAAGAAAATATAATTAATCTTCCTTCTCCCAGAGATTAAGGTAAATGGCCCGACTTTTGGAAGGCTGTAATGTGATTCCAGTATGCTTCCTCCCACACTTGGACAGTGTGCTGTGCGATTAGATACTGGTTCTGGGCCACCCAGGGCAATTCACACTACTGCTTTGCCTCAGTTTCTTATCTGTACCTTGGGGATGACAATATCTCCTTTTGTTAGGGACAGGGATTATTATGAGGAAAAAGTTGATAAAGTGCCTGGGAATAGCTTGATTTCCTATAGGAAACAGATAAAGCTAGAGTAATCATGATTAGAAGGGAATTTATTTCTACATTGTAGCACAGTAAGCCATTAGGCACCCTGATAAAGTTCTAATTATGTTTCCTTACTGCTCATCGGTGCTGTCAGCCATTCTTAGACCCAGCGCACAGCAGCTGAGTCCTGTTCAGGAGACACCCGAGGCAGAGAGGAGTTTGTGACAAATGGGCTGTGCTCCCCATCTTGGAGTGTATGTTCACATGGTACCTTGGTTGGGCCATGTTATGGTGTAGATCTAAAATTTAAAATATCTCCTAGCTGGGTGTGGTGTACATACCTGTCATCCCAGCACTCTGGAGGCTGAGGCAGGAGGATCACCATGAGTTCTAGGTCAGCCTGGGCTATACGGTGAGTTCAAGGCCAGCCTGAGCTACATAGAACCTGTCTCAGAAACTAAATAAATAAGTGTCCCCAAGGTCTCATGTGCTCATAGTTGGGGCTTTTGGAAGGTGATCGGATTATGAGGGTTGTGGCTGACTGGCTCTCTGGAGGTGGGGTCTGGTTGGGAGAGGTGGTCTGGAAGGACTCATCTCTTCACTGTGCTGTCTTTCACCCTCTCTGTGCTTCCTGCCAGCACACAAGTAGCTCTTTTTCTTCTGCTGTGGCCCTCTGCCACGCTGCCCTGCAGTGGCCCCCAGCGACTGTGGACAGAAACACTTGCATACCACGGGGCAAAACAAACCTCTCTTCCTTTAAGTGGTGGGTGTCAGGCATTGTGGCAAGATAGTGACTAAAACAGGCCATTTAGATTCTTTTAAGGAGCTGACCATTGCATTAATTGCTGGACACATTCTTTCCCACACGCGGACCCTCAAGGGAACTAAAATTCCCTTTGCGATCCACAGAAGTCCTAGCAAGGCAGGACACTACACGGAAAAACAGTCTTGCTTAAAAGTTCAACCTAGGATTAATTTCATCTCATATGGATCAGTTCAGAGGTCTAGGCCGTCAAGGTGTTTTTACATTTGATCTCATCATCCAGCATTGCTGTTGTCTGAGAATCTGACCGGCACGCCATAAGAAAACGGGACAGATGCCAGCTGGAAATGTCAGAGAGGTTGGAGCGGCTGCCGCCCAAGCTTGCTCACTAGGAACTTTGATTAAAAAAAAGAAAAGAAAAGAAAAAGAAAACATGCCACAGCGCCTGCCTGGCAAGCGTGAGATTGTGATTTTGATTCCCAATACCCCGTCACCACACCCCCATACCCACCCTAACCCCTGGCAAAGAGAGGACTTTGGTCTGCAGCTGTGTAGACAACAACCCGGTGATACATGGTTACTGTGTCATTTTACAGTAAAGGAGACTGAGGCGTAATTCACGAATGGTACTGGGGTAAGTGTACTTAGTCACTAACTCCTAAACCCTAATCCTAGTATCATGAGGATATTATGATATTCTCTTCAGTGCTTTTTCAGAATGAAGATACATTCCCTATCTGCCAACCTACAAATGCCTTTTTGCCCTGTACCTCTAGACCAGAAATATGAGGCCAGGTGGACAAGACTGGCTCTTGATGAGGTCACATCAGTTCCTAACTAACTGCCACTTTCACTTTTTGAAGTGCTACAAATGAAAAAAAAATTTACTGATAATTTTCTGTGTTGTCTATGTCTATGTTGTCTCATTTAAACCCATTGTTTTCACATATAATCTTATTTAATCCTTACTCCTAAGTTTTGAAACATGTCCAAAGTTACACTGCCATTAAATGGCAGAACTGAGCCCAATGTGGTAGCCCAGAACACTAGGAGGCTAAGGCAGGATTGGAACTCTGAGCTCAGCCTGGGCAACTTAATGACTTAGCAAGACCCTGTCTCAAAATGAAAGAAAAATAGAGCTTGGGATGTATATCAGTACAGAGGCCCTGGTTTCACCACCCGACTACCACAAAACAAATAAACAACGGAACTCAGATTTGAATTTTTGATGGAATCAGTCTCATGCTTACCGCTGATTCACCACTGACATGGTTCACAATTCACTGTTTCCCTTTCTTCAAAAGTTAACACCTCGGCCTCTCTGACCTTTTGCCCACTTTGTATTCCCTGTGATTTCTGACAGGACAGGAGCTCTGTGCTCATATTGCAAATTTCGCAGTGCTCTGGGATTGTAATTCATTTAGAGCAGGGGCTTCAGCTGGTTTGAAATGTGTGGGTACGTCTGCCATTTCTCATACATCTCAAATTCTTTTTTCTTTCTCAAAGTTACCTCTTAGTCATTTTTCTTAAACTTATGCTTGATGGAGGTGATGGAGACTGTTTTAGTGAATTTATTTCTTACTAAGAAAAAAATGCATGTTAAACTCTTTATTTCAGATTATCCTATTTATTTATTGCTAAACTGAGCTATTATTGCCTGGTCCAGTAGTTTGAGAATTATAAAAATGTGGTCACTTCATTTTATATCTCACTTTCTTTTTGCTATGAATGGGCTGTTCCATGTTTTATCGGACTGACTGGAGCGGGTTTAGAATGGAGACAATGAGCAGCAGTAGAAGGGTCTTACACCTTCCAGCAGGCGCTAATCCTGTCCTGCTAATCCAATTTGCATTTAAGGAGCTCCTTGCCATGGTCCCAAGGATGCATGATGAAAAGACTCGTGGCTCCCTCTTCTCTCATCTCCTGTTGCCATTAAATCCATGAGGAGGCATAGGTTGTCCAACCCCTGCTCGCTGGGCCACAGGAAAAAGCCACCAAATAAAGCACGGATTCTGTTGACTCCCATGACACTGGGTGCCAAGACAGTGGGAGTGGAGGAGGTGCAGGCTGGACTTCAGGGCTGCTAGTTCACTTGACTAAGTATTTAACTAACTATTTAAATTTCTGTAAGCATGCAATGTATAAGTACATAAGAGTGCCAGCCAGGCACCACACAGGCAGGAGGGCATGGAGGGATGTAAGCCAAGGGAAGACTAGTGAAAAAGTTAAATCAAGGTCTACATGACCCAACTATTTCTCTTTTAGACACCTTCCTGAAAGAGTTAAAGATGTTACAGTGATGCATGGCAGCACAACCGTAACAGCTAAAACCAGAAGCAGCCTGTAGGCCCATCAGCCGGTGAACAGATAAAGATAATGTGGGACTCATGGATAGTGGAGTTCTACTCTACTAAAATCAAGGAGAGCTTGGAAAATGGACACACTTTGAGACCATAGTGTTAAGTGAAACTGATCAGACTCATGCTTAAATATCGAAGGCTTCTCGTATATGAGAAACCCAGATTATAAACTAAAGAGGAAAATAAGAGATAGACAGTAGGAAACAGAAATAGATCTTTCACAGATGAGAAGGAGACTAAGAATGGAGGGAGGAAAAGAGGATGAGGAGGAAATAAAGAGGTTGAAAAAAGAATTCAGATGTTTTACGTACCTGAACCAACTCTCTATGATGAATGTGACCATTATGTACTATGAACACATACTAATAAGAACAAAATTCAATGGGGGCTGGGGATTTAGCTCAGCGGCATAAGCACCTGCCTTGCAAGCAGGCAGTCGTGAGTTCGATCCCTGGTA